CATTACAAATGCTTCGTTCGTTAATGAAATGTGTTCAAAATGCAATTTTTCGATGACACAAAAGATGCTTCCGCATGTTCACTTCACGCATCCATCGTTAGCCTTCGAAAACAACTATGCAAATGAAGTACTACCGAGAGATGGCATCCACGTGAATGGCATGTATCAGCTGAGGGCACCGATTCTGGAACTGGCCAGGGACCAACTCATCGCATCCAACATCTGCCTAAAAGGCAGCTGAAAAATTCTCTCTGAAAGGCGAGGATAGGCAGTAATGCTTCTTTATAGAAACAGGATTTTGACAGGACGCTTTGTGAGTCGATTAATAAATTATTCGAAAAGCTGCGATTTTTCTAACGGGATATTTCTTCTAGCCATTGTTTGGTTGTGGACTGAATTCGACTACCTGAAATCCCAGTATTTTGTGCTGAAGCGTAAACGGGAGCAGCTATGTACGCAAAAATGCAAAATGAAGCGCAACATTCTATTAGTAAATTTTTATAAAAAACTCTAGTAAATTTTCCTCTCGCAAAATATAAGACCCAGCGCTTTAAAACCAATTAGTTCTGAATTAAAGGAAGAAAGTGCAGAGCAACATTCCTGACGTACCAGCTGCGCTGAATCCATTGAGGAGACACTAAACCGACAATACTGAACAAGCTCGGGGATCTCACGTCCAGCCATGTGAACTGGTTATGCATTTTGGCTACTTATGATTGGTGAAGAAATCTTCTGAGCTGAAATTCTGTTTCTTTTTGCACATAAGGAAAGAATGAAGGACGCAGGATTTGACCGCAGGACTTTTTCCTTGACTATTTGGAACTGGAAATAGCCTGAGCCTTAAAAATAATGGCGAGCGAGTGGGAAAATATTTGGTCAAAACTACTCGGAATTGGGTCCGGGACGATTTGAGCATTATGAGGAAAATTTTCTGAATGAGGCACGTAACATAATTGTTTGAATAAGCTGCGCAAAGTTAAATAATTTTAAGGAAGAGCTTTGTAAAACTCACAAGCATAAAGGTTTACTAGGGTTCCAACTTTTTTTTCAACAGTTTAGAAAATACACATGACAGAGAAAAAATTATGAAATTTAATTTTGCGTTTTTAAGCTAAGCATGAAGCGTTCAGGTCGCTAACAGCGTGAATGGTTTCTGCGTTATATAACTTAACATGTGAGCTCTTGCTCGATGCGTTATAGCTTAACACAGTTTCGCTCTTCCTACGTGCAAGGCGAAAAAACCGTCCGCTGGGGCAGAAATTTTGCACCATTGGGCTGCATGAATTCTAAACACACAATTACCGTAAATTTATTCGGTGATGAATGATTGAACAATACGAATTTGGCAATAAACAAGATGTAATCCACAAAAACAGAAGGATAATGAAATTCACAAAACGCTTTTGACGCTGCGATAAGACTGAATATTTGTCGTGTCCCGTACTTGAGAACCATGCATACCTGAGAGCTGAATTTGAAGCCTTTAAGCTGCAAGTGAACAGGGAACATTTCCTAAAAATTTCAGCCTTCCAATTTGTACAGCTCCGGAATTAGCAGTTTTCTCATTAAAATTCTACGGGCTCACATGTGGAGTTTAAACGAGTATGAAGGCTGGTACCGTGTTTCTTGGGTAATACTTGACCAGGAAAACCACTGGCAAAAATTCAGCGTCGAAGCATGCTTGGTTTTCGAGCTGAAATAACCGGATACACACACACACACCCACACACGCGCCCACATATACACACTATAAGTCGCCACAATTTGCGTTTTTATGCGTTTTTGCCTATATGCAAATTGCAAAAACGCATATTGGGACGACCCTGT